GCCTAGGCACCAGTTTCCTCTGCATCGCTGACTCTTATGTGCTGAGCCAGATATCTGGGGTGGCCCATAAAAGCCAGTCTTTCTCTGAAGATGTCATTTGTGGCCTTTGGCCTTGTTCATCTCTTCATTTTTTTCATCTAGATTGTATTCGAATGCCTGTCCCTATGCCGTCTACTGTGGGGTGAGTTGGGGGGACAGAGGACAGACTGTATGACTCATGTTCTTGTGTTGCTTCAAGTCCAGCAGCAGATCAAGTCTGTCTATGCAGCAGATGTAAGGGACCAAATGATCAACATGATTACAGGAGCTATCTCACCATAGGGATACCTATGTAGGTAGCTTGTGTCATCTGCTGCCAGATCTAATGGTTAAACTGAACCCAACTCTCCCTTCCTGTGAATTTTAGTCATTTTTCCAGATTCCTTTCTCTGGAGCCACACACACACCCCCGTCTTTCAGAATGAGGGGTTTTTGGATGTGTGAAGATTACTATCTTTCTTCCACTGCCTTCTCTTCCAAGGCTAATAGTAGTTTCCTAATTCTCACCTGTTTCACCCATGTCATTGGGTCCAGACCTGTCCATGTTTAATTGCTCCCTTCTGAATATATTCCAGCTTTTCAATGTTCTTATTGAGTGGGAAATCTAGAACAAAATACAGTATTTCAGAAATACAAATAAATGATGAATAATAAAAATAATAAAAAGGAGCTTTGTTGTGTGTGTGTGTGTATGTGTGTTTAACACATGGGTAGAGAGATGGAACATGTTTTTATTTCTAATTTTACATAATGCAAATTCAGTTCAAAGACTTCTCAGTACAGCATAATTGATTTTGACTTTCTTAGATCATAATATATGATATTTTTATTCTCTGGTGTTTTTATGCTAAGTTCTGAGAAAGCTTGATGAAAATACCTGACCTACTTCTCTGGGCAGGTACTGTGGCTATCAGGCTCTCAAGTCTATCTTAACTTCCACTTGACCCTCCTCCTGTGGTCATGGCCTTAGCACCTTGGGTGGTAGATCCTCCACAATGTGTCCATTTCTAAGTAGCTCCCTAATCTAGTCATATATATTGCTTTCTTTCCATATCAAAGCTATAACCAAGACCTGCTTTGATGGAGACAGCTCTTGAGAAGACTGGCATAGATTATTCATTGAGTAGCTTCAGGATTGGTCACTCTATTCATAGTCTCTGTGACTAGTGCTCAACCTGAGTTCATTCCTTTCCTATTCTAGGGAGTGCACAACCTGTGCAACCACACATGGCACCTGAATGCAGATTGCCTGTGATGTCTGCCTTTAAAGTACAGACCAAAAATCCCATTTCTAATCTGTCTTGGGAGACGCTGTTGATATTTCCAAATATCTGGGTTGTAGGTATAGTAGATTGGCATTAGGCATTTATTCCAACTATGTATCTCCCAGAATCCCTTGCAGCTAGAGTCATGGAAGCAAAGCAGTTTCCACAATTAGGTATGTCTATGCAAGATTTGAAAAGAGGAAATGTGATGAAAGGACAGAGTTCTGCAGCTTTGATGGCTTTTGCTGGCATGCAAGGTGTTGAAGATGCAGTGCTTTTGTGTAGCAATATTCTGTTTTATAGCCACAGGCTTCATGTGAGTAGATAAGCGATTGTAGCAGCCTGTTGGTAGTTTCTGGATCTCACAGCTCCGGGGTTGTGTTCTGGAACTCAACCATTCCTGTGGCACCCCCACCTTCTAACTGGGGTAGAGGGAGCAGCTCCCTTGAAGGCCGGTTCAGCAGTGTCATACTAGAAGGCATTCCTGGATCCAACCCTTAGCCTACCTTTCCAGCCCCTCCAATAGTTGTATGAACACTGAATTCCGTGTACTAAATCCCTTTCAGTTTAAAATAGCTAAAATAATTTCTGTTTTCTACCTCTGAGTTCTGACAGATAGATTTATCAAAGGCAGTATAAAAAAGGTGATTTCAACACTTATTTTAACCTCAATTAAAATGTGTTTTGTGACTGTTGCTAATGACTGCATCTCAAGAGCACTGTAAGGACTTGAGTTCTAGTCCTGTCTCTGCTGTCTATGTGTCTGTGTGTGTGACCTTGAATAAGTCACTTCAGCTTTCAAAGTTCTTTTCCTTGTCTATCAAACTGGGCACATAACGCCTGCTTTGTATGTGTGCCCATGAGTGGAGAGAACGTGAATGAAAGTGGGCTTAGGGCAATAAAATGTGACTGCTGTCTTTTTTCCTTAATATAATCTAGTCTCCTTATGAAACCCTATCTCTTCCTCAAGGAAAGTACTAGTTAGAAAATGTCTATTCATCACAAAGTGAGACATAAATAAAATATCCTGTCTTACATTTTGTTCAGGATTTTCTACGGCTAATGTGTTTGTCCATTTTGCTTTGCTGTAAAGGAAGACCTGAGGCTGGGTAACTCATAAGGAAAAGAGGGTTATCTGGTTTATGGTTCTGCAGACTGCACGGGAAGCATGGTGTTCGCATCTGCCTCTGGTCGGGACCTTGGGAAGTTTTTACTCATGGTGGAAGACAACAGGAGCTGGCATGTCACATGGCAAGAGAGGAAGCAAGAGAGAAGGAGGAGCTGTCAGGCTCTTCTTAACAGTCAGATCTTTCATAGACTAACAGAGCAAGGACTCAACTCATTACCATAAGGGATGTGCCAAGCCAGTAATGAAGGATCCACATCCATGATTTAAAAAAACCTCCCACCAGGCCCCATCTCCAGCCTTGGTGGATCACATTTCACATGAAATTTGGAGAGGACAAATATCCAAATCATATCAACTATTTTCAAACCAAATGTCCTGAGACAATCTGGAGAGAGAGTTGACATACATGCAGACATTTATAAATGAAGGGATAGAAAGTTAGTGATTTGAAAGTCAGACAACTATCAAGATAAACATTAATATTATCTACCATGTCAGTTTAACGGCTTTCCAACAGATCTTGTGGAAAAAACAGTCAGTTTATAACATCAAATAATACCACATTGATGGCAAACCATTCATCCCCCTAGTTAATATATACTGAATATTTGCAATGTGCAAAGTTTTCAGTTAGACATTGGGGTCCTATGCTAGATATTAAAATAAGTATATCAGGGGAAATGTTACCATATGTAAATTATACATCAATTAACATGACTAAAAAGAAGACACAAAAATACCTCTCATAATAGGTATTCATTTTCCATCCTTAACAAAGCCTGTTTGTGGTGAATAACAGACTCACTGCACAATGTGCTATAATTCATGTCTCTGTATAGTTCATTGCTCTTTGCCACACCCATGCCTGCCTTCGTGCCGCCATTCCTCTTCATGGAAACCCCTTCCCCATCCATCTCTGCCTATCCAATTCTCAGTTCCTTTTGGGTCCTACAGACTGTGAGAAAGCTTTGTTAATTCTCTTTAACCTAAATTAATCCCTCTCTGCTATCATAGTCCTTCATATATGTTGACCCTAGTATATACCATTTTTCTGTCCCATATGAATTTTTTGTATTATTTTCCAGTTATTTAGATACATATATATATCATATTTATGTTTGCTATTTTAGTTAATAGAATTTGGCATAGTATAGTAGTAGGTAGTTAACTAAGTTTGTTGAATTCAATTTTGAATGGATCTTACATCTATTTCACTGTACTGAATAGTTGAAAGAAAACAGCCATAAAATAGATATTGGTGGGGCCAGAGTGAAAACAACATCTAACTGTCCATCCTTCCTGTCATTTTCTGTCCTCTGTCTAGCCTCTGCTTGCCTACCTTTCCATGTGAACCAGTGCCCACCCATCTTGTTTGAGGCAGATAATTTATTATCATAGGCAAGGGCTATTAGAGTGATAAGAAATGTCACCCTTGGGCTTGGTTTAGAGGTTCATGCCTGTAATCCCAGAACTTTGGGAGGCTGAGGTGGGTGGATCACCTGAAATCAGGAGTTCAAGATCGTCCTGGTCAACATGGTGAAATCCCGTCTCTACTAAAAAGACAAAAATTAGCTGAGCGTGGTGGTGGCAGGTACCTGTAATCCCAACGGCTCGGGAGGCTGAGGCAGGAGAATCACTGGAACCTGGGAGGCAGAGGCTGCAGTGACCCAAGATGGTGCCACTGCACTCTAGAGCAAGACTCTGTCTCAAAAAAAAAGAGAGGAAAAGAAAAAGAAATGATGTCACCCTTTAGCTTAAAGTTTAATTCTATATAGCGCGAAGTGCATGACATATCAGGGAGGAAAAAAATGTGTAATTTACTTAAATACTGATTAAACGAAATGAGTGAAATGCATAGGTATATTCTGTAAGCGGTTATCCTGTTCACACTATTGAATTACTAGTTAATTCTAAGGGATATGTATAGATCCCTTTGAATTAAGAAAGAGGATGAGAACAACAGAAAACCAGGAAAAAGACATATTCAAGAAAGAGTAGAAGGCTTGCAACTGCCCACCTGAAGAAGTGAAATCTAAGGAGTCATTAAAAAAAGATTAATGTTATTAATAAAATGCAATACATTCATACAGAGTTTTAAGGTGTATAATTTTTTTACATGTATCCTCTCATTAGACCTTCACAGTAACCCTATGTGGTAAGCATTATTCTCTCAAGTTTGCATATGAAGAAATGGACTTTAGTCCTGTGATAGTGTCTTTTTGACCTCTGCACCTACCAAATTTCATTGTAAATGATTTAGAGAAATATGCCAACCTGAAAAATTTATCAGCTACCATTTTATTTCAAGGTGTCAGACTGTACCCCTAATAAACTTCATACCATTCGGTGGTAGCTTTCCAATTAGGGTCAGAATCAGTCAATGTTACCCTGGAGCTGACAGAAAACAAAATGAGTTTCTTTGAAATGAGAAGTTTGCTCTTTGTTCATGTGGGCAATAATGTTGGCATGACCATGATGATGAAATATGCGTTCAGCTTAAAGTCTGCACAAAGCAAAGGATGCTAAACATTCTAATCCAGATGTCTGTTTCCCTCTCTATTTTGTAGTGTATATCCATGCCAAATAGACACGGAGCTGGACGGGGCATGACTCGAAATGCTGTGGGTTGATTACAGGTGAGTGAGAATGAACTCTTGTGTACTTTCAGCTCTCTGTCCAGCTGGTGTGTCACCAACTAGAAACCATCCAGAAGCATGAGCTGTGTGATCTCAGGAAAGAGATTAGGCAACAACTCTCTTTTGTTTCAAATAGAGGCATGAAAAAGTAAAAAGGTATTACAAATAAGCAGAATTTTTGCAAGTTAGCTATTCATCTGTTTAGCTAAGAAAATATCACTGTGCCATGCTCTGAGGACACACAGATAGAGATTGCACAGTTCTCATCCTTGAGGAGCCCACGACCTAGTGGAGCAGATGAATAGGCAAACAAAAGCCATGCAAGAAGAATGTCTACAAGAGTGTGGAAGTGAGAGTGATGACCCATTTGAAGGGATGGGAAGCCTCCTAGAGCAGGGGATGCTGGTGGGTTCAGAAGCTAGTTTTAGTTAGTGGAGAGTAGGAAAATTATTCCAGGCAAAAGGATTAGTGTAGGCAAAGCACAGGAACAGGGGTCTGGATGATTTGTTAAAATGGGCAGTGATTCATAAAATATGTGAAAAAATCCAAATTAAATTGGAGGAGAATACACATAAAAATAAAGAGAATTTCTAATAAGATGCTTCCATACTCAAAAGCTTACCTCACATGCCTCACTCTGGGGAGCACAGCTCCGGAGCAATGTGTCTCAAACTTTAATGATGTGCATAAAATTTAAATAGGAATCTTATTTAAATGCAAAGTCTGATTAAGTAGATCTGAGGTGGGGCCTGAGATTGTGTATTTCTAACATGCTGCCAGGTGATGCTGAAGCTGCTGGTCTGCAGACTGATCTGGGGCTATGGATAACAAGTGGAAGAAGGGCAGGTGATAAACCCAGCAACCCCTTAGAGGCCAGTGGTGTATGTGTGTATGCAGGGTATTGCCAGAGCTAGATTTGATGCTCTTGGGCAATGGGCAGCAACCAAATTTGTTTTGTTTTGTTTTTGAGACAGTGTCTCACTCTGTTGCCCAGGCTGGAGTGCAGTGGCGTGCTCTCAGCTCACTGCAAACTCCACCTCCTAGGATCAAGTGATCCTTCCACCTCAGCCTCCTGAGTAACTGGGACTACAGACATGCAACATCACCCCAGCTAATTTTTTTGTATTTTTAGTAGAGACAGGGTTTCTCTATGTTGCCCAGGCTGGTCTTGAACTCTTGGACTCAAGCAATCCACCTTCCTTGGCCTCCCAAAGTGCTGGGATTACAGGCATGAGCCACCATGCCTGGTCAACCAGTGTTTTTAAACAGAGCAGGGACAAGATCATATCTGTGGCCGTGAGTGGTGGCACAGGACTTAAGGGTGTTGTCAGTAATCTTGGGATGAATACTGGGGGCCTGAACATCACCAATGACAGGAAGCAAGAGAGGAGACAGTGGATTCAAGAGATACTTAGGAAGTAGGACAGAACGTTATGATTGTCTGGGTTTGGGGGTGGGTGTGAGTAGAGGCAGGAGGAAGAGAGAATGACTTTTTTTTTTTTTTTGAGATGGAGTTTTGCTCTTGTTGCCCAGGCTGGAGTGCAGTGCAGATCTTGACTCACTGCAACTTCTGCCTCCCAGGTTCAAGCGATTCTCCTGCCTCAGCCTCCCGAGTAACTGGGATTACAGGCACACGCCACCACGCACGGCTAATTTTGTATTTTTAGTAGAGATGGGGTTTCACCATGTTGGTCAGGCTGGTCTCGCACTCCCAACCTCAGGTGATCCACCTGCCTCAGCCTCCCAAAGTGCTGGGATTACAGGCGTGAACCATGGCACCCGGCGGGAGAGGATGACTTCTAACGATCCGTCATGGAAGAGAGAGGTTTGGTGTTGCCACGATGAGGTATATCATGCAGAAAAAGGAACCAGTTATGTGCAGAATAGAAAGGAGCCTATGTGTCATCCAAGCAGAGCTCAGAAGGCAGTTATGATTGGGAACCAAGGTCCAGGAGATCTGGACACAGACCTGAGATGTACAGGTGCCACGACACTATGCAAAGAAAGAAGAAGAAAGCAGAGAAATGAATGCAGGATTCAGTAAGGGATGGTCTAGGGTGTAGGAGGAGATCAGCAGACAGTGTTATAGCATGTAGAAGCCAAGTGCTTCAGGAATTAGGTCATGTCCATGTCAAACACTGCAGAATGGTCACATAAGGATGAGGATGGATTTAGCATTCAAGTGTTCAAGATGACTTTAGTGAAATGAGTTTCAGAAGCATTGTGGATGAAGGCCATGTATTAATGTGTTAAAGAGAATGTGGTAGGCAGAATACACCCTACCCCTCAAAGATGCGCCTGCCTTAATCCTTGGAGCCTGTGAATATGTTATCTTACACAGCAAAAGAGGCTGCACAGTTGCGACTAAGGGCACAGATTTTGACATAGGGAGATTATCCTGGATTATCTGGGTGGACCCAATTTAATCCCACGAGTCTTTGTAAGTCAAAGAACCAGCAGGAAGAGTGTAAGAGAGAGATGATATTGGAGATGGAGGAAGAGGGCCATAGGCCAAGGAATGTGGTGGCCTCTAGATGCAGAGAACAGTTCTCAGTTTATAGGCAGGAAGAAAATAGAGACCTCAGTCCTGCCAGTGCAAGGAATTCTGCCAACCACCTGAATGAGTAGGAAGTGCAGTCTCTTCTGGGACCTTCAGAATGGAGCGCGGCCTGCTAACACCTAGATATCAGTCTGCTGCGATCCATACCAGACTTCTTACAGAACTGTATCTTACAGAACTGTAAGATAATTAACTGGTATTTATTTTAAGCACGAAGTTTGTAGTGATTTGTTACAGTGGCCACAGGAAAATAACATAGAACCATTAAGACTTAAGAGTAATGATAACAATGAAAACGTCAACTACTCTTTCAAGATGTCTGATGGTTGAAAACATAAGATTTTGATACCTGGAAATATATTAACAGGAAAACCTTTGGAGTCATTTTCTTTGGAGTGGGAGTTGGGATGGTTTGCTGCAGACACCCAGATGTTTGATGCTATGTCCTTTTATCTTCACCTGCATGAGGCTGCTTGAGATGTAAGTACTGGTATTTACTGCAGGGAATATCGTACACCTCCCCAGACCCCACATTTGCAATTTATTTATTTATATATTGACTTTATGTCCTAGAGCAATTTTAGATTTGTAGTCACACTGAGCATACGGTACAATGATATCCCACACATCCCATTCCTTTCCACACCACCTCCCCTACTGTCAATATCCTGAACCAGAAGGGTACATTTGCTACAGCGGAACCTATACTGACACATCATTATCATCCAAAGTCCAAAGTTTACATTAGGGTTCACTTTCGGTGTAATACATTTTTAAACCTAAAAATAGAGAGGTCCCATCAGCAACCTTTCGATGCTCGATTTCCTTCTTCGCTGATTTCACGGCAGTCGTCACTACATAGCCCGCTGGAGCCCACACCATGGCTTGATATGGGTGTGCACACGCAGTCAAAGGCACCCTTAATGCTTGCTGCTCTGCGTCCTTCGACGTCTCTTGCTCAGCAGTCCAGCTATTACAGTAAGTGCTTAATGTGTGCTCCAGCATTATTGTGGTATCATTTGGATGATTGCATGCTGGGCCGCACAAGTCAGAGGCAGCAAATGCATTAAAGGCTCATCGTTATCGGCTTGCTGGGGATGCAGTTGATGGAATGGTGGTAAACCTCAGATGTTCCGCTGAGACACAATCCTGTTTGTGCTCTTTCCTCACCCTGTCCCTTCTCCTTATTTTCTGTCCCTCATAGAGGCTGCTTCTCTATTGTTTGATGCAAATGTGTAGCCTGGCTGCTTTTCTCATCTTGCCCACCCGCTGGGATCGTAGGAATATGAATTGGTGAAGACATTGTTATTGGCTTTCAAATGAGAAAGGGTTTGGGGGCACTGTAGTAATGGGTCAAGGGTGTTTTTAAACATCTTCAGAAATAGGTATGTACGTTTCAACGTACTTTGAATGTATATACATTTCAACGTACTTCAGAAATAGGTATGTACATTTCAACGTGCTTTGAATGTATGTACATTTCAACGTACTTCAGAAATAGGTATGTACATTTCAACTCCTGTGAGTATTGCAGTTGTTCCAGCTGTACTCATTTGGTGCAAGAAGCAAGACCTACATGTATTTAATATGTACTAAATATGCCCTAGGTATAGATTCCAATGCCACACCACTGATTTCTTAACACTGGTGAAGGTCTATAAATCAAAGCAAGTGCTTCCTTTACTTTTGCTGCATCCATCTATATTTTTCTTTTTCATCTGTCATATGAAACTATTATTATTTCGCATTTCTTTATGCTCAACCTTCCATCCAATTATTGGACACATTACAGGATGCTGGGCACTGGACTCATACAACTACTAACAGTAACAATTCTAATTATGATGATAAGGATCATTGGTCCTCTTCTGTCTCTCAGGTGCTCTGTGGGACCGAGCAGGTGTCCATGGACACATGCATGCTTTTAGGGGCACACCCATGCTCTTCTTTCCCACAGAGAGGCACAGAGCTGAGCATATTGCTTCAGACCCAGAAGAATCTCCTCCATCCCAATTGGGTACAGTTGTGAAGGAAATGTGTTGGAGGAAGTCACCTTCTGTAAGCTGCTTATCCATCAGGTTGCACTCTGTGTGGGTGTGTATCCTTCCTATCTTGGCTGTCTTAGGTCTCCATATCCTAGGCAGTGGCCAGGTCAGTCTTTCTTACTATGGACATTTGGGCAATACAGGTACTGGACAATATAGGTAAGTTCACAACTAATTCTCTCCCTGCATTTGCTCCAGATCTGTGGACCAAATCCTACTTACCCATGGCACTACAAACTTGTCTTTTTCCTATCATCACTAACACGCCACACCTTTTTTCTCCTTACCTTCTTGGAATTCCTTGATGGCTTTCTGATATTTGAGGCTTGACAAAATTTATTCATGATTCAGCAGCTAGGATTTATTAACTACTGTGAAACAGAAATTTTGCCAGG